CCAGAGTGCCACCACCTTACACCAGAGTCTGTCAGAGTACCCCCTTACATCAGAGTCTGGCAGAGTGTCCCCTTACATCAGTATCTGCAGTATGGCCCTTATTTCAGAGTCTGGCAGAGTTCCCCCTTACATCAGGGTCTGGAAGAGTCCCCTTCTTATATCAGAATCTGGCAGCATGCCCCCTTAAAACATACCTTAACCACCAGTGGGCAGCTGGCAGGAAAAGGCTTATAAAATGCCTTTTAAAGTTGATCCAGGGAATATCCGATTGCCTCTCGGGGGATCAGGAAGGAATTTTTTTCCCTGCAGGAGCAAATTGGATCATGCTTTGGTGGATTTTTTTGCCTTCCTCTGGATCAACTGTGGGTACTAGGATTATAACTTTTTTTTTTTTTTTTTTAATGGTTGCACTGGATGGACTTTTGTCTTTTTTCAGCCAGACTAACTATGTAACTATGTAAAAAAAATAATACCTTTGTTGTTGACTCTGAACTGTGCATGCATACTTCCAAAGCGAGCCAATCAATGAACTGCTGGGCTCAGCCACAAATTGTGTGAATATAAGCCATGCCTAAAAAGTGACATGATGTCACTGCACAGGTGCACACCCAGTTCTTTAATTGGCTGGCTGCGGTACTGTGCATGCGCAGGTCAGAGTCCATGGCAAGGGGATTTTTTATGGGCACTTGTCTTCTCTCCGTGAACATTTTTAGACAAGGGAAAAGTGCCTGTTTTATACAAACTGTCTATAAATTTATGGATGGTTAGTAACACAGGGTAGGGGTGTACAACATGCTGCCACTGTGATGTTTTTCTTCATGGCTGCTGCAGGAATTTATATACGCTGTTGCATTTGTTTGGCCCAGTGCCTGCTGAACATGACCCATTCAAGTGAATGGAGCACCTCTGCAAGCACCTCACAACTGCGTGCAATGCATCCGGTTCCAGTGTACTAGTGTGGGGTTCTAGGGGTTAAAGCAGGTGGTGAGGATGTGAAACAACACCTCCTCACTGCCTGCCAAATGCTCTCTGAAGAGCGATCTGAATTCAGATCGCTCTTCAGAGACCAAAGCCCATGTAAACAGGCCCCTCAAGTGATGCTGGGGATGGGCAGAAAGGTGTTAAACCAGAAGCATCACAAACCTGGGAGGTAAAAAGCTAACTGGACATGAACAATGGAGGGAGATGGGGAGAGTTCAGCATTAGGCAGAGCTCAGCTGACTCACCCCACATTGTTCTGGTGGCTCAGGCAGAGGCTTCAATCTTGCAGCCACCATGTAGTGGCTGGCTGCAGTGCTTCAAGTTTCCCACCAACACATCTCAAGGGGTAGGCAGGAGGAGAGGTGAAGGAGGAGAGGTGAAGGAGGAGGTGCACATGATCTCTCCTCTCCTGTCTGTGCAGGGAAGGGGAGGGGGAGTGTGCTGGCTGAGCTCTGTGACAGATGCAGCCAACCACTGCACACAGCTTCAACTGATGGACATCATCCACAGGTTGCCTGGGTGGGCACAACTGATATCTGGGGGGGCACAGTCCACCCCAGCACCCCCCTAGATCTGGCCATGTTACTCACCCCTAAACAAGAACGAGCAGTTAGCCCACGCAGTGCCGGCACAGCCCCACTGCATACTTCAAAACATTTTTTGCCCAGATTTCTGCCTTAATGTTTTAATTGTTAAAACTGAATTTTCTTTTAAATTTAGTGAATGTAAATGTTGTTTATATTTTACATTCAGTAAATGTAGTTGATTTACCAAGCAAATGTTTACTTTGCACATGAATTTCCAGGTGGAAATTTCCCTGGCAAAGTGAACGGCCTATTTACCTTTAGTAAACCAACCCCTCGGTCTCCAGGCACTGCCATCAGTTGGACCTTTAATCAAGCCAAGCTGTCCATCTGCTTTTGGTGGTGGCTTTGTGGTGACTCATTTTTGGGGGATTATTGTCATCCACATTTGCGTGTTTGATTCTAGTATCTGTGTATCTGTGTCAGACTGGACTTTCAGGTTTATGCTCGAGTCTTTAAGATTAAACATTGTGGTTAGTTTACATAATCTTTGGTCTGGTTTATAGTTAACTGTTCTCATTTATGTGGTTATATGGTTTTATTAAAAGTTCATTTAAACCCCACAAAGAGCTGTGGCCAACATATTTTTTACTACTTGTCTATTATATTTTTAATGTTTAATTTTTTTTCCTTTTAGGGGTTGGTAAGTGGACACTGTGGGGTGTACCACCTGATGTCCAACCACCATGTCGTTTGAGGGAAGCAGCCAGTCTCCATCATTTTAAAGAGTATTAGGTACTTAGAATTCCTCTGCTCATCGTGGAGACTATGGAAAAGTTTTTGTTCATGGCAGAGTTTTGCTTTAAAGTGGTCGGAAACCTCAGATATGAAATATGAACAAAGCATATCCCTCTATAGTGTGTACTCAATTAAGGGCACCATGTGTCATTTCTGTCTGTTGCTTTGTTCCTCATGAATCCCTTCTGACACTTTTTCCTGACACCAAGAGAAAAATAGTGGGGGGGGGAGGGGTGCCCCTTCTCTCCAAACAGCTCTCAGCACTCTCCTCACTAATCTCTGCATTGTGTAATTTCAGCCCTCTTCCCCCTTTTTTTCTGAACTCTCAGACAAGCACTTTTGAACAGATGAAAAGAAAAGAATACTGCAGATGTATAGGTACAACTTACGTTGGAGGATTTGTTTCAGCTCTGCATATCAGGCATCACTAAATGGTGGACCGCGGTCTGGATGCAGACATTGCCACTGTTTCATCCAGACCCGATCACGCCATGTAGGAGCTTTCCCTCCATCCTCCATCCTCCACCGCTGTTATAACAGCAGAACGGACAGCAGGAGAGCATGGGAGCTGCCAGGGTTAACTTTTTAACCTCCCTGGCGGTATTCCCAAGTGTAGCTCGGGGTAAAGTTTCAGCACCACAAGGGGTAATCCCGAGCTACACTCGGGCTTACCATGCAGCATTGCTCTGGGATCCCTTCTGCACTTACCTTGTCCTGCGCTCCTGCGATGTCCCCCCTTCAGTGTCCCCGGCCATGTCCTGGCCGATGCCGGCATCTGTCATCTGGGTTCCATTCCCTGTGACGTCGGGACGTACGGGGACGGAACTGGCGGGAAATTTAAAAATGTTAAAAAGTGACATTCACTAAATACACTAAAATCACATAGTATTACATTACTGTATCAAACCATTTTACATACATTTTGTCCCGAGTGCTTTGTCCGGCGCAATGGCCGGAATTTTTACTGTCTGGAAACTGAGAAACGTCCATGGCATCTAAAAAGCGTCCCATTCAGGGGCGGACTGACCATTTGGAAACTCGGGCACTGCCCAAGGGCCCGGGGTCAGTAGGGGGGCCTCATGAGTTGCCCCTGGTACCTTTTTCATAGGCTTTTTTGAGTTTGGGCAAGGATGCAGGGGCCCCATGATCCCCTATTGCCCGGGGGCCCCATGAGTTGTCAGTCCACCCCTGGTCCCATTAGCTCAAAAGCGGTTTTAGGCCAGCTAGAGAACAGCGATAGTAAATTAGAACCACTTGCAGAATTGAGTGTTAATGATCCATGGGGAAATTTGTCATCAGACACGATTTTGTGACTTTGCTCAGTGATGTGCGAACTTGGCGCTTTATTTCAAATTTCAGTGTTTTTGGTTTGATTATATGATTTAATTAAATTTATTATTATTATATTATTATTTTATATGATTATTTATTAAATTATAATTTATGATTTCGTGTTTCAAATTTTAACATACCCGGGATATTTACTAGACTCTTGTTCGGACAGATTTCAGTGAGTTATTCCTAAAAATTACAGGCCTACAATAAAAAAATGACATATTTCCATGCAAAAAAAATACCGCTTTGAGCACAGAAATATGGATATAATCATACTGCTAAGGAGGCTATGTTAACCAGCAGCTGATTGGAAGCAGGGCAGTGCTAGCAGCCAATCACCTGCTGCTCTGCTTCCCACATCCGATCCAGAAATGTTATGACATTCTGTTCAATACTGTGCTCCCGTTCAATCCCCGCATTCTGTTCAATACTGTGCTCCTGTTCTGTTCAATTGTGCTGTTATTCACACTCGCTCCAGAAATGTTCTGTCTCCAGCTGTCTGCTTTGCTGATATAACAGTGGCGGAGGATGGGGGAAGCGGCTCCGTTCAATGATGTGCTGTGCTTCCCACACCCGATCCAAAAATGCTCCGCCTCCCGCTCTCCGTTCTATGGTAGGAGAGTGAAGGGGGGGGGGGGGGGGGACACTACTCTGGCTGTGTGTGTGATGTAAAGGGGGGGGAAATGTGCAGAGGGGCAGTGCTGTGTGCATATGGTGGCGGTGATGTATAGGGGGTAGTGCTGTGAAGGGGTGATGTAAAGGGGGGGATTTGTGATGGGAGGAAGGGGGAGCTTAGCTGTGGAGGGGGAGATTTAAAGGGGGGCAGTGTTGTGGTGGGGGGATGTGAAGGGGCAGAGGACAGTACTGCGGGGTAGGGATGCGAAGTGGGGGATGGGGTTGGGTGAGAACACTACTGCGAAGTGGGGGGATGGGGTAAAGGGCTGATTTGGGGGGGGGATTTGTGATGTAAGGGGGTAGGACAGTGCTGTTGTGAGAGATTTAAGGGGGAGCAATGCTGTGGGGAGGGGGATATGAAGGGGGCACAGTTCTGCTGGGGTTTATGTGAAGGGGGCAGAGGACAGTAGTGTGGGGCGGGGTGATGATTTGAAGGGGGGTTGAGGACTGCTGAAAATAATGGGGGTGTAATGTAAAAAGGTGGATGGGAGTGATGTGTAGGGGGCCTGAAAACACTACTGTTTAGGTAAAACTGATGTGAAATTGGGGACTGTGACGTATGGGGGGGGGGACTGAGGATAATGAACTATAGGGATTGTGATATACAGAAGGAGAGGGCTGCAAAAAAATGCAGACCTCTGTTGGAAGAAAATATTACTAGTCGGAAATCCATATGTTTTAACCCACTTGCCGTCCAGCCACTGTATATAAACGGCTGGATGGTGGCTGTCAGGGATCTCTCCGATCCCCGCCGCGATGGTCCCGGCGCAGGCGCAGTGCACCGCCCTGTGCAGGGACACGGGCACTAGGTCCGGGCCGGCCGCGGCGTTCGAGTTCGCGCATGCGCAGTAGAAGCGGCCGCTGGGCACCAATGGCAGCGCAGGGCGGGATATTTAAATGGCCCTGAGCTGTCATTCAGTGCCTTCTGGTCTTCCCTGCATCCTGTGAACCTGTGAACCTGTGAATTGTAAGTTGTGACCCGGATTGTACCTGACCTTCCTGTTTTCTCCTATCCTGACCCTTGCTTTGCCTGACCTCTCTCTTGAATGCCCCTGATTGGATTTGACCTGCTGTTGCTGACCTGGCGTGTGACCCGACCATTCTATGCCCGCTGCCTTGTACCTTGCCGTCCTCTCTGTTACCGACCCGGCCCGTCTGACCTTGCTCATCCATCCATCCATCCCTTGCAGTGGGGTCTGCTGACCTCCTCACATCAGACTCTTCCCCGCGGGAGCCCTTGGCGCATACCACTACCACTGCCGGACGCACCCAGTAGCCACGACCTGGTCTCGGGGGGCTCCAAGTCCATCCCCACCATCAGGGGCCCTGGTGAACAAGCACCCTGGGACTTAGATTCCGTGCGCTGGGGACGCCTATTCAGTGGAGTGCTAGTGGTACCGCCAGGCGGTCCCTTACAGTGGCAGTCCAGGGGCAGGTTGCCGTTCATAAAAGGCGGCCGCAATTTTCGACTGTGCGCACTCCCTGGGAGCGCGCAGCACCACGATCCAGTGCCCTCCTCCGGACACAGTGGAACACCGATCGTTGTACGGGACCTCTGTGCGAGGTCCCGATCATGTGATCACTGATTGGCCAATCAGTGATCACATGCAGAGTAGTAAGCAAGATGTCACTTCTGACATCATTGTTTACTACGTGTGAAATCTGTGAATGATCACCAAGGTCACATGGTACAAGGCTATTCACAACAGCCTTGTACCATGTGACAAGCTGTGACCAATCACAGCTGACACAGTATTTCTCAATGGCTGCAAGAATGCAGCCAAAGAGAAGGAGAGATGATTACTTTTAAAGCCTTTATGGGTGCAAAAGCAATCAGTGTAAAAAAAAAGAAAGAAATCTTCATCACCCTCCACAGTATCACCATGTAAAAAAAAACATAAATAATATTAAAAAAATAAAAATGTAAAAAAAAGTTTTTTAAAAATATTATTTTTGGTTATAAACTAATTTGGGGTATTTTTGTTTTACTAAAAAGATAACTGAATACATTTTGGCCAAGATTTATGATGAAATATTATTATTTACAAAATTTTCTAAGAAAAACACTTTTCAAAATTTTTGGACTTTTTCATTTATATAGCAAAAAAAAAAAAAATCCCAGTGGTGAATAAATACCACCAAAATAAAGCTTTATCTGTCTAAAAAAAATTCTAAAAAATTAATATGGATACAGTGTTGCATGACTGCGCAATTGTCATACAAAGTGTGATAGCACTGAAAGCTGAAAATTGGCCTGGACAGGAAGGGGGTAAAAGTGTCCGGACCTGAAGTGGTTAATGCAGTACCCCTGCTGTACCTCATCTGAGGCCGGTCATTTCACTGGGTACATGTAAGGGTTTATAACCACTTTAAAATAATATCTTGCTTTTGGAGTTGAGTGGAGTTCTTAGAGTACAGTGGACAGAAGCTTTTAAAAGAAGCATCAATATACAATCTGAAATATTCAAAATATGTGACTATCCCAATTTACTTCCTTTTTTGTGTTTATTAATAGCTGTTGCAAAATCTGCACAATTTTAGGTTTCATATGAAACAAAAGAAAGAGGAAGCAGTTGTTTTTGTATATTTTTCTCTTAGTACTGTCTGGTTATGTCTTCCAACCCAGTGCTTGGTCTTGGCATGATATAGGCAGCTCATTCAGAGGGTTTTTGTTGGGGTTTAACCTCCCTAGCGGTATGATTATGGCAGATTTTTGGTGCTGAAAGCGGTACCATTTTTTTGCATGGAAATATGTATTTTTTTTATTGTAGGCCTGTAATTTAGGAATAACTCCCTGAAATCTGTCCGAACAAGAGTCTAGTAAACATTTCGGATATGATAAAACTTGAAACACGAAATCATAAATTATAATTTAATAAATAATCATAAAAAATAATAATATAATAATAATAATACATTTAATTCAATAATATAATCAAACTAAAAACACTGAAATTTGAAATATAGCGCCAAGTTTGCACATCACTGAGCAAAGTCGCAAAATCGTTTTCAGTGTCTGATGACGAATTTCCCCACGAATCATTATCACTCAATTCTGCAAGTGGTTCTGATTTACTATCGCTGTTCTCTAGTTGGTCTAAAACCGCTTTTGACCTAAAGGGACGCTTTTTGGACGCCGTGGACTTTTCTAAGTTTCCAGGCAGAAAGAACAGTCAAAATGCAGGCAGGGCACAGGACAAAGCACTCGGGACAAAATGTATGTGAAATGCTTTGATACAGGAATGTTTTGCTATGAAATAATCGTTTTAAAAAAAAATTCATTGTTTTTAAATTTTTAAATTTGCCGCCGGTTCCTGCTCCTGTACGTCCCGACGTCACAGGGACCGGAACACGGAAGCCAGATGCCGCCATCGGCCGGAGGAGATGGCCGGGGACGCTGCAGGGGACGCATCGCGGGAGCGAAAGACAAGGTAATCGCTGTAGGGAATCCCTGTGCAACGCGGCATGGTAAGCCCAAGTGTAGCTCGGGGTTACCGCTTTTGGTACTGAAACTTTACCCCGAGCTACACTCGGGAATACCGCCAGGGAGGTTAATCAAATTCCCAATGTCATTGATCTATTTGGCAGGCCTCTGAGCTCTTACAGGTTAACATTCATTGATTTCATAATACTTTCCATACCTACAACCAGAGACCACTATCAGCCTATTTCAGTAGAGAACTCTTATTGGTAAAATCCAACTCCAACCAAAACCAGAGGCTGCTTTGGCAATAGGTACACCAATGATCAGAACATATAACCATGGGAAACTTTTCCAAGGGTAACCAGGTCACATCTGCAGTTGCTGAACACAAGCTAACTGACAGAAGAAGAGATGAAAGCAGAGCTGGAATAATCTAGACTGGACTCTGATTTTATTAATGGGAGAAGGTACTACAATTCTTCCTGCCAGGATGCAATCGTGAATAGGGACCAAGACTGTCCTGGATGTTAGCATATGCCTCCATGTTCTGGGGCTTGAAGGGGTGAGGGACAGAACTGGATCAGTATTGTTCTTACCTCCCTAATGGGCCCTCTTCCACTTCCAGGCCCCATATCAGCTATCTGTGCTGCTATGGCTATACTTTTCAGCTCATTTAAAGTACTAAACCTGTAGATAATTGAGAATTCTGTTTGCACTTTTGCTTCAGATTGTGTTTGTTAAAGTGGAAATATACAGTAAATTCTGAAAATGTGGGGAAGATAAAAGTAATGCTTAGCGGCATTGTTAACCTCTTCCCGCCCGGCCTATGGACGAATGGCGGCCGGCAAAAACCCTCACCTTTCCGGATGGACTCCATACGGCATCCTTTCAGGCATGCGCAGTTTGCACGCCTGCAGAGTCGCGCAACAACGCGATCTGTCACCGGCCGTGTACCTCAGACATAGCCGATGACAGATCTGCGTACCGGCCCCGTTGCCAGTACCATGTGACCTGCTGTGACCAATCACAGCAGGTCACATGACAGTTGTATACAATGGATGGCTTCAATCATGCCATCCATTGCATACTAGTGTGTCTAGCTGTGAATGGTCACAGTAATCACATGCACAAGCTGGGCAAATCACAGCCCAGCTGTGTCATGTGATTAGCCATGGCCAAATCACAGCTAAGCACAAAACAAACCCTGAATGAATCGATGTCATTCAGATAAATGCTTGCTTAGTAATTCTTTGCTATAAGCAAATTGTGTAAAAAAAAAATACTGATCACTTCCCCAAAGTAGTACAATGTTACTATGGTAACATTGTACTACTTTGGTCATAGTGAAATATGAAAAGAAAATCTTAAAGAAAAAAATGTAAGAAAAAATTAAAAATAATTAAAAAATTTAAATTTTTTTTTTAAAAATTATAATTTTTTTTTCATACTGTCACCAGTCAGTGTCCCTGATCACTGCCATGCCAGTTATATGATGACGCTGTACTGCACTGGTGACAGTATGTAAAAAAAAATAGTGAAAATAATTTAATTTTTTCATTTTCCGAAAAATGATGACAAAAAAAATACAATTTCAAAAAACTCGCCATGCCTCTTATGAAGTACGTTGGACTGTCTACTCTGCAAAAAGGGGTCATTTTGGGGATATCTGTACTGTTCTGACATTCTTGGACCTCAAGAAATTAGATTGGCTGTCAGTACTTCAGGATTGATCAATATTCAGATCTATACCATAGTTTGTGAACTCTATAACTTTCCTACAAACTAAATAATACATCCTAATTTGGGTTATTTTCACCAAAGACATGTAGCAGAATACATCTCGGCCTAAATTTATGAAGAACAATTATTTATTTGCAAACTTTTATAACAGAAACAAAGAAAAACGTGTTTTTATTTTTCAAAATGTTCAGTCTTTTTTTGTTAATTTAGCAAAAAATAAAAACCCCAGCAGTGCATAAATAGCACCAAAAGAAAGCTCTAATTGTGTGAAGAAAATGATAAAATTTTAGTTTGGGTACAATGTTGTATGACCGCGCAATTGTCATTCAAATTGTGAGAATGCTGAAACCTGAAAATTGGCCTGGGCAGGAAGGGGGTAAAAGTGCCCGGTATGGAAGAGGTTTAAACATATAAAGTCACTAATTTCACTGTTCTAAATTACACTATTATGTTTAACAGAAAGGCCAAAACTGTCAGATTTTGGGCACCATTAGTATAGGTATTTTAATACTTTTATGTTAGCATCACTTCCTTCCCTTTTACAAAGTACAAAGTATGTAAACAAAAGACGCACCCCTATTACTCCCCCAGTTACAAAAATTAATGGCCAAAAAAAATGATTGGTAAAACCCACAATTTCTTTTTTTTTAGCTATTTTTCCTATAATACTTATAGAAAGTGAATAGTACATATTTATAAAGGTCTGGACATTGAACCAAAAAAGTTTGGAAAGATGACTGTATAATATGCATTGCTTATAAGCAGGTGCTTACAAATTGTTCTTGTTATATGTGTAGAGATAGATAATTATTCATGCTGTGCATGTGGGGAAAGGGTTAAATTTTCCTGGGCATTTTTGGGATATGCCCTCCACCCTGTGTTCTATAAAAAGGGGGAAGGCTCGGTTTGGGAATGCTTAGCTGTGGCCTGGATGGAAAGTGTGACCAGAGACAGAAGGGAAGCTGTAACCCACAGCAGCCCATGAAGCACCCTCCAGGGAAGATTTACCAAGAGCCAGGACTCTGCCAGACTACGAACTCTGGGGACTCTGACCTTGGCGAAGGTATGCTCTGAGCAGCCTGCATTTAGATAGTTAAGGAGAGACTACCATCTCTTACTTCCAGGGACGGACTGACAACTCATGGGGCCCCCGGGCAATAGGGGACCATGGGGCCCCTGTGTCCTTGCCCATACTCAAAAAAGCCTATGAAAAAGGTACCAGGGGCATCTCATGGGGCCCCCTACTGACCCTGGGCCCTCGGGCAGTGCCCGAGTTTCCAAATGGTCAGTCCGCCCCTGCTTGCTCCTGATTTTGCTTGTCTGTACCACCCCGATGTTCAGTAAAATTGTATTAACTGTTCCATGACAAGAAAAAACACAAACAGGGCGAACTCTCCTCGTGCATTACAGTGGTATCAACTGCTTTATTATGAAAAAAAAAGTGACAAGTGCATACACACAAAAGGACCATGAAAACAGACATGGAGCCAAGTGAATCAGGCCTAGGTAGCGGGGGTCCTGTAGA